AAGAACAGTGGAGCTCTCTAGTGTTTTTTCCTGCAGTGGGACAGGGACCCTTAAACTATATAATTAAGTATATATCATACCCGCATTATCCAAATTAAAGTACAGCAATGTGTATCATTTACGTTTAACACCAGATGAAGATCCAAGATGTGGCCTTGAACTTTCAGATACTAGGCCCCGAGAACAACATCGCACTATTGTCAAAATCTGACGATGTCAATCACTATCCCACCTGCTGTGATAAATGGCTCCATCTCTAAACGAACCAATAATTATGTTTCTGTCTCATTTATTGGTCCTATGGAAAGTGTCTCAGGCCCGGAACAACCTACTGGCTAGTGCTCTGTATCTAGGACTAAAAGGATTCCATTCAGTTATAACCCGATAAATCTAATTTCATTAATTGACCTTCAGCTTTTCAACATCCTTAGTAAAAATTGCTATGTTAATTGAATTTAGCCAAATGTTTCATATTTTCTTACACATTCACTATTAGTAAATACCTTCTCCCACTGTGAAAATAGTGTTATCCTTATTATCACCTCATCCATTCTACATTAAAAACTGTTTAACACTATATCGCTAACACAATGGGGACAGATAGGTAACAAGCCAATGTATTCTATGAAACCTGAAGATAGAAATCTGGTTTATGCAGGTTTCTGCAGAGCTTATAATTAGGGTTCAATTTAGACAAGTTTTGTATGATGAAACATTTTCCTTAAAAAAGATTCACACAGCAATATTTATTTACTTTTCGTGAGACATTTTTTCAACAATAGAATAACCATACACAGCCGAAATCATGTGTTTTTTTCTTGTCTTACAAAGCCAGTCTTGCAAACTATTAAATTTGTCACTATTCATTATATATATAGTTAAGGTATAGTCGAACCTGCCTCAGATACCACCTCTATCAGGAGACACTTGTGTAAAGAGACCACTTTAAAAAAAAAAAAGAGATTTTGCGTACATTTGATAAATTGAAACAGTATTATAAGGCCACCTGCTGTAAGACAACACTTTATAACTGCACTTTCCAAAGATGGCCGCTAGAAACAGGTGCGACTTTTTCAACATAAATGCTTTCAAAAGAGTTTTGCAACGTCAATATTCCTGTCAGTGGTGTATCCCCTTTACCTATATGATATACTGCAGGTCTATCCCTTATAAGTGTATTGCTGGCTAAAGAATTCATAAGTGTTTCTATCCAATTGTCTGCTCTTTTTACATTCCTGCATAAATATCTTATTTCAGCTCCATTCAAAAACTATCGCCTTCACTCTAGATGGAGTGTACCGATAGACAAACGTACAACCCAAAATATTTATCTTGTCAACAGGCGAGATATACACAATCCGGTTATGTATTGAAAACTCTTTTTTACACATCCTGTAACATAATCTATACACCCACATGTGTTAGCTAGGTATGAATACAACTCTAAATCCAATCCCTGAGTTTTCATCGTTGAACAATTCGAACAGCAGAAATTTTAAAGCAACCGGTAATATGTTTAGCTGAAACTGGAGATCAAATCTGCACCGCTAGCTGTACCACAAATGTGCCTGTGACAAGTATATAATTAAAACCTCCCCTCCCCCCTTCTCCTCCCTGAAAACCACTTCAACTCAGGTTCAATAGCTACCTATCACCCAGGGAGGGTCACAAACACCATTTTGTGCCAAGAGAGTCTGTTTTTGCCCAAACCAGGGATCAAACCATCGACCCCTAACTTGTCAGTCAACCACCCAACTGACTGGGATTTAAAAGAAACTTCTTGCATGAAGCTAGAAGTCAACTGTTATCATATGTAGAATTTAAACCTGTCATCTTATAAATTTGAAATATGCAAATGAAGTATCTAGTTTGCAAGTGCAAACATTATAACTTATGGTGAGTGTTACGTAAACAAGAGAAAAGAAGACAAGAAATCTGTGGTCATACGTTACGGGGCACTTGAGTAACTGAGAACTATTTTGCTTGTCTCTTTAAAGCTAAAACGGCATAAATGCTAATCTTCTGAATTTACAGATGGACGGACATCCATCAAAATTAGAAAACGGATCTACAGAAGCGGTGTTAGATATGTGCAGTAACTGTTTTGTTGTCAGCCCAATCAATAATAATACAGGATACAATTGCTATAAAGCAATTTTTATCGTGTAGATGAATGGATCCTTTATATTGCATGCGAGCGGAAATTAAATAATAGATGTTCTCATCCATTATTGACAACTTAGATCAAACGTATGTTGGAAAGGCCTTGACTTTTCTTAATAACATCAATTGTAATCAATAGTTTTAGTCATTCCTCTTTAAAGAAATACATCACAAAACCCAAATCCCGTGTTAAATGGATTCTGGATTAAACACACAATGACAGTAATGTGTCTCCAATAATATTGTTTAATGTCAAAACAGTACACAAAAATAGCATTATCTCCCGTACAAAAATGTCACACGTATCGATCCTAGTCTGCCTGATGTTTGTTAAATTACATTAAAAGTCAAAACGACTCGACCCTAACCTTTTATGTAAATAGCGGTCCTGCATATTGTAATAGTGTATTAGATGTAGAACTGCAATTAACTTATTAATAGCACGATACAATCAAATTACAATTTTACCAAACGTTTAAAAAAAGGAGTTTAATTGTCAATTAATTTAGGACATTTTATTTTATTTTACAATTTTTTAGGTACCTCCAAAATGTAGAACAAAAACATACTCTGTTGTACATATGGAAAGCAAAGTCAAATTAATTGAGAGATTTCTTTAAAAAAAAATATATAATTGATTTATTACATACTTATTAATTAGCATGCTACACTTTTTGGTCAGAAAAGGTATGAAGCTTTACTGTAACAAAGCTTATTTACTGAAACCTATCGACAAAGAAAGCTGAGCTTTTTGTTAAAAAGTTAATTTAATGAGACTTATCAAAGTTAATCTTTAATGTAACAAAGTTCAATTACTGGAACCAAACAGAAAACAAATATCTGAACATGCCACATGTCACCCTACAGTCAAAGACCTTTACAATCTACAAGAGTTGTTCATTTCTACACGTTTGTTTCAATGTCCATTTCAACTCTGTATAATTCAGTTAATCCTAATTATATTTACCAGTACCCAAGTCTCTACTGTTTTTTCTTCTTAAAAAAATAATCTGGGAATTAAGGCAATATATGAAACAAAGGGCCTTGGCCATTCCTGATCTGTATTAAGTAGAAAGTGGTTATGGTCTAAGCTGTGTGTTGACTGGTAATAAGCATATAAACCTGCTAGCCAAATTATATAGAGGTATTAAATTTCACAACAGTGGAACAGAGCTTAGTGAAAATATTTACAACAGCAAATTATTGCTCTCCTTTCATTGTGACCGTGTGCTGCTGGAATAGGACCCAGTTTTTACCCACAGAAGATAATATGCGTACACTGTTTTGATATCCAGACATAAAATTACATATATATAGACCACAGAATAATCCATATATATTTTCGCATGATCGTTTGTCTAAATGTAGTTTTGAAAATATCTGTGTTATTTTAGCTGCGTTCACACTGAATGCTTGTGAACTTGTGTATTTTCCTCCTGGCTACACAACACAGCAAAACAGAAAATCTATTTTAGTAAACATACTTGTACACGCCATATGGATTTTAACTTCAAATTACCAACTTGAGCCAATACGAGAAGGCCGATATCAGGGTGTCTTAAACTCTGTAATAGACCTTTAGATTTTTTGTAATAGATATCGCCCACATGTACAAGATGTGATTCACACTCCCAGTCAAATTCCACCCATAAATACCTATGGTATGTACAAATTTTAACATATATGTGATTAAACGACAATTCTAATTTAACACCTGTAGTTGATTAAGTATTCATTAATTTACACCTGATCATGATTTTTTACCTGTAATTAATGAGCATAGGTAAAGGTGAATAAGTTCAAGTTCATCTATCCATCAACAGGTATTACACTATTTTTGACAGTTAAAAAAATAAGTTAAGTCTCAATTTACATGTATAAGCCCGTTAGATTTTCAAGATATATGTATATATATATATACACCTGTTTACAATATCAGTTTTTTTAGAAGTAAAAGACACTCCTTAAGTACTTCAATCATAACAGGACTATGATAACACCTGTCTACCTGGTGTATGTAGCTGTAGTATAGAGTACAATGCGCTACATGTTTCCACCACACCGCAAATCTAGATATGTTAATCAATTATTTAGACTGAAAACAAAGATAATAGTTCTTTATATCATAGTACACGACCTACAGAAAGTCAAATACGACGTTTTCAATCCCTATCACTGTATTACCTTAAGGCTCGGGTGTGATCATATTCAACAGGTGAAAACGGTATCTAAATCATGTCTAAATATGATCAGATATACACGCTACATTTGTTTGTATGAACTTACCCACACCGATATCACTACCTACCCCTATACTATGTAACGTGTTCTATGGTAAGGCCAATATAAATTTTATAAGCTAAAGGTATAGCATTACTTCTAAGCGGGACCCCGCTGTTTTCAAACTTAATTCTACCTACGGATATCGGGCCGGTACATAACCATCTTTTATATTGTGTCAGTGTTGTATTATGTAAGGTTGTGTAATTACACAATACTATAGATTAAACAAGTTTTAAGCCAATTCTGAAGTAACTAGCGCGCGAAGTGAGCGACTCCCGTGCCGGAAGGTTGATCAGAGACGGTACACCCAGGTAAATGTCTCACCTGACGTCCGGGACTACTGGCACAAGTATTTATAAACAACAAATACCGTATCACCAGTTCCTGTGTCATTTAAACCACCTAAACAGACTATAAAAGTAGAAACAGCTGTCAGAGTGGACTGATACCATTACCAGAGTAGAAAATTCAAAGTTCGGAGAATGTAACCCTATAGATACTAGATAGGTCCCAAGAGCAGTTAGGACTCCGTAACCTAAATAAACAGTTCTTACCTTTCAGCGGTGTGTTCCCCTGGTCCATAGCCAGTGAAAAGTTAAAAACTCCAAGTAACAAAATCCAAATGATCACTTCAGATTCCATAGTTGTGAAACGTCGAACGTTACTTCCAATATAACTTATTTCATATCTTGCCAGCTTTACTGTGTACTTGTGTGTGTATACTACACCGTGTGTGCTTGTACGCTTCAGCTCTTACTTGATTCGCTCTAAGGTAAAAACCGGAAATACGTCACGATGAATATAATTAGACTGCGTGTGCTATGCTACTTCATTCATGAATACACTACACGTATTACTATGATCAGCTGATGTAGTAGGTGGTGGGCGTGGTCACTACACGAGCTGCTGTGACTGACACTATCGATTTTATCTTGAATTTTCTATCATGAAGGCATGCGCGCCGAATGTCACTTCATTTCTGTGACGGAATTTCAAGGCAGGAAAGGAGATATCACTATCTTTATTCCTACATACTTTACACGATGTTTGGAAATTCATTGGATAAACGACTTTCGCGTCAATTCCCAACAGCGATGGGGAAAATATAGAGAAATCTTACCTAATGTCCATCCGTTGATGAGATGGGGGTTTTAATAAGAAACAATACCAAGACAACCACCTTAGAATATGTTCCTGTAATGTGCTATAAATCAAGTTACAATAATTTAACAAATATTTTTTCTTATGATATTTGTAATATTCAATATGAAAGATATAAAGAAATCGTTTAAATATTTTTAGATTACGAAAATACCAGTGAGACTATACATTGCATTGGACGTTATACGGTTTATCTTTTCGTAAGAAGACAGTTTGAAATCATCTGACGATTACAGAATCATTTTAGATAATCACATCAAAAAGTGGTATATAGATCGCTGAAATTGCCGTTTTCATTTTTCGCTATCTAAATGGTTGAACCGGTCGGACCATCGTTGTTCGTCGATGAATAAGATCGGACCTAGTAATCGGATGGTGCTCTCAGGCGAGCCTTGACCAAGCATTGCAAGGCATACATATAAACAACCGCAGGTAAGCCAGGATTTATACCCGAAAATGTAACATTCAGAAACAGACAAACCTGTTGTTCCGCATAAACGAACAGGCCCTAAGTGGAAGCGTTATGTGTTATAAGCCGGCATTTATGAAATAATTAGATCCACATCATGCTTAGTGGACACTGCTAAATCGAGAGAAGAGGTTGCAGCACATGAGTTGGAGGTAAAGTCGGCGAACTTCATCGAAGATAATTAAAGAATCGATTTAGTCTGCAATGGTAGAGTACCGAGTTGTGGGATAACGGCGGAATAAGGAAGGAAATTGGATGATTCTGGTACGGAAATATCACTGCGGGGTACACACAGTTCCAGCTCTCTCACATTCTGGTTAGACGTCGATTTAGACTGGTGTAGGAGCTACCTTGGGGACTTGAATTTGTAATTTTCAAATTAGCTACAAACTGTTAGCTCGCTATTAGGAGTAGGTGCGACTTATTTATCCGCATTTCTGAAAACTTTACCATGAAAGGGGAAGTAACCCATACCTATAAACGTGACGAACAATTGACTCAGCGGTGATACTTTCTTAGCTGCAAACTTCTTTCCAAAAAAAACCACTTTAAATATAAATAGTATTTGATTAAAAAAAACACCATACAAACGGTATTGTGATTAATAAATATTCTGGAAAAGTGCGTGATTTCGGATGTGGTTATTTTCGCATTCGTGATATATCAATATTGATGAAAAAAACGAGTAACTGTCCGCAACCGCATCCAGATACTTCACGGTACGCAGTGTGTTTAACGGTGTTTAATTGGTAATTTGAAAATGAAATATTTTATACTGAATTATGTTCGACGAAAGTCACGGTATATAATATAAGCCGATTGAATTCTATAAACGGGGTTCGTTTTGAGCATGCACGAAGGTGCATAAGTCTTGTTATTCAATGGGGTCGAAAAAAAAAACCGATGTGATTTGATTTGGACTTTGAAGATTGGGCTTCTCGTATGCATCGTTAGAGAGTTGATAAAAATCCAGTTTCGGAAATCAATATTTCTTTCGCGTTTTTAAAGACTGCGGAGGGAACGGATGGGATCACGAGGTGGGTTAACAAGGTTTACTCTCGTAATTACACTGTAAGTTAGTGACATTTTGAGTATCTTTTGGAAAAGAACCGTTTCTGCTTCATTTCAACTTACGTACCTCGTTGATAATCATACAGTTATCTTATATCAGATATAGGTAAAAAAATGATTTTTTTTTATTTCATTGTGTAAAATATCCCTGGAAGGAAATTATATCTTACATCCCATTTCGTGACGTCACAATGGATCAACACATAAGTTATGTCACCTTATCGGAAAATTTCATAATTTATAATGCACACACCGGACACGTGAAGTACATGTATTTGCAACTAAAGATACTGCGTGCTCTACATGAGATATCTTTTAAAAAGCCGAGTGGATTCAAAAGGAAACTTTGAAATTGTTGAATAATAATAGAACCAGAAGGTTTTTAGCGCAATGCGTTACAATTTTCTTCAAAATTAAAATTCATGTGTAACAAATATCAAGAAAAAAAAATATACACGTCAAAAGCATGGCAATATCGGACTAGCATACAGCGGTGAAATGTTCCCTCTCTCTCTCAAAAGTCAATGGTTCAATTTCGGTATACATATGCACTTCAGTTTAATCGGAAATAACTGACCCCTTCGGAGGGGCAAAGTCATGTTTTTTATCGAAATTTTCTTTTGTCATGATGCGACAATCTAATGGTGCAGAGACATTTTTATATCGAAAGAGGAACCCATTGATCTCAAAGATGACAGAAATGTGGGGCTACGGAAATATCCACATAGAAGCGACCGAGGGACTCTTCCGATATTATTAAAGGGTGAAGGTGTGGAAAAACACTACTTCTTTTTAAGGGGTTTAGTCACGATTTCTTATAATTTCATATCTGGTTATTCAGATGATGGACGAGCCGGATACGGCCTCATCTGTATCAGGCGAGTTCAAGTTCAAGTTCAAGTTCTTTATTAACTTTAAGTCTTGCGACTTATCAGTGTAGTGAATGCATATGTTGAAGGTCACGTGATGTATGACTTCATGCGATATGCTGCAATTACCCATGCTGATTCGCCTATAGTCAACATATTTAGAACAAATGTATTCTCATAATTGTAGCATCATTACGAATATATGAAGCATTTCTCGACTGCATTTTACTACTAGCTTATCCCCCCTAGTTTAGAACTTAGGATTAGAGTTATTCTTTTTGTGAATAATTCAATATCTTTATAATATTCTATAGACGGGGGCCAGTTTACATTACGAATTCAACATGTAAAACAACATAGCTTAAAACATCGTACAATTATGATGTAAATATAAAGGTAAAGACATCAATCGAAGAATAAAGACATCAGTGTTGTTCTACATGAAGTGTCGGAAAGAGAAGTATTACAGTGGAACCTGAATCAACAAAAATCAAAGTAAATCCTAGCTGACAGACAGCTGTCAGAGAGTAACCATAGCTTTGATTCCATGAACGCGTACATTTTAAAAACATATATCAAGAAATCTGTTTTCACAATGATTATAGTCTATTTTGTCAAAGTTAGTTTGATTTACCTGTGTTTTTTACCTGTGTTTTTCACTTGTACATGTTAAAGAAATTTAGTTTGGTTTGGTTTAGTATTGTTTAACGTCCAACAGCTATGGTCATTTAAGGACGACCTTCCATGTGTGCACGATGCATGCGTGTAGTGTATGCGTGTGCGTGTGTTTTTGGGAGGCTGCGATATGTTCGTATTTGTCTTCTTGTGATAGCGCTGAACTGATGCCGACTTTATAGTGCTACCTCACTGAAACATACTGCCGAAGACACTCAGCAGGACACCCCACCCGGTCACATTATACTGACAACGGGCGAACCAGTTGTTCCACTCCTAAATTGCTGAGCGTTAAGCAGGAGTAGAAACTACCAATTTTACAGACTATGGTATGTCTCGGCCATGGGACAGAACCCAAAGCCTTCCTCACAGGGGCGATCGCTCAACTAAATGCCGAAAGTGAGGCATTGTTAAGGGAGACATAAGGAAGAAGATAGTTGTTCAGAAAGAAGAGAAAAGATAAGATCCCAAAATTAGTCGCCTCATACGATCATGCAATGGGGGCAGCAGGTACAATTATTACGCCCTACCTGCAGGGACATAATATGTTCGGAAATATTTGTTATATGAAATTAAAATGTATCTTAAGACATGAATTTATTATATACGTTTAATGCTCTCATTCAAAATTTTTTGTTAATTCCTGTAATAAATTATTGCCATTCAAATTTCATTTATTTTATCATTTTCTGTCAAAATAATTTGTATTGTAAAAGTAACTGGTAAAATATCTCAGGTAAATATAGTTACTATATGATACAAACTATATTTATGATGTTTCTACCTATTGTTTAAAAGATGAATGCGTTCAGGGAACACACTATATATTACCTGTGAATTAACAAATCAACTAATTACCCCCAACTCTGACTGTGAATATCATGACCAGAGGGCATTTATGATCGCCCTCCAACTAACACAGGTAGGGGGCCACAGGTAGTTCTGTCAAAAAAATAAGCTGGAATAAAATATTGATTGATTGATTGGTTTCAGGTAATAAATGATTGATCTGAACACATCGACTTGTAGCTCCACATAACCAATACTTCATTACAGTATGTTAACAAAGATTTTTTCCGAACGGGAAAATATGAATTAAAAGTTGTTTTTATTACTTCATACAATAAGAAAGAAATGGGGAAGTCATGGGAGTGCAGAAGATGTAATAATTCTCGTATAGAAAAAAAAACATGAAAGAAAAAATAGTTGATTTAGGAAATTTTAATAAAATTTTAATAAAACTACGGACTCAATCTAATTTCGTGATATCAGTCAATAAATGGTGACTATTCTACTGATAAATCTACCACTCCTGTTTAAGATGAGATGATGTATTCCCTTGTTTGCCACGCGTTCCAGACCCGGAAACTGTCACAAATAAATGGATAGATCTGTAGTTCACACACAACTTGGCCTTAGGGCACTCTGACACTTGACGGACTGGAAATGGACCAAGGATGCTGGGATATTCCCGCCACTCCTACACCCTCTTTCACTGGATAACGTTACGAAAATG